TCTGCATGGAATTCCTAGCATGTGTCAGCTGGGCAACTTGTTCACCATAGCCTGTAGGAAAAGGGCAACTCCCATCTAGGTGAGGGAGGATGACTAAACTAACTTGACTAAGCTTGGGCCTCTGGATATTATCAAAAGAATAGCCAAATGAACTAACATAATAGGACGACAGAGGGAACCAAGGGGACCACACTTCACCTTAAAGGTTTGGTCCCCTCAGACAAAGCACTACCAGAATCTAAATATTCAAAAACTTTATAGTTAATGTAATTATGTGATACTTACTGGTCCCCTTACACAAACTAAGTAGCTTGGACAACAACCCTCCACTACAGAGTATAATGTCCTGACACATCGATGCCTTGAGACGTAACAACGAGTCTCCAACCACTCAATGGATCAATGTAAGAAAAATTGATTTTTTGCTTTTTTTTACTATTAATATTTAAAATAAAAATTAATCCTTGATTTTAATAATGTAGGAAGATACTATTAATATTTAAAATAAAAAATTAATCCTTGATTTTAATAATGTAGGAAGATTACGAGCAACTCCGTGAAAGAGAGAGGGATTTGGAGAGCCAGACCCCCACATTTGTCAACAACAATGGTAGTCTGACCACAACTGCATAATCTGATTTTGAGTTATGGACGTAGGCTGGGAAAAAAATAAGGGGGTGTACTACCTTGGTGCAAAGCGCATTGAATTTGAGATCGAGCTCTCCTATGTTGTTGTAGGTAGCTCGAGCTCATTACAGTTTGAGTATGAGGAGCATGTCAGGCTGGCTCGTGTCATGAATGCATAGCTTCGTCAGGTGCATGAAGGTCGACAGATGGTTGTGGATACTCTAGCATGCCTAATGGTGAGTATTGCAGATCATTTTAGCAAGTGACACATGAGTGCTATGGATGAAGAGGAGAAGAACAAGGATTAGGAGTTTGATAATATTCCCCGTCACATGGGTTTAGGTATAATTCTACTGAAGATTAATTGTTTTTTAAGATTTGTCTCTTTCAATAATCCTATAGAGTGACATAACCACTCTCGAGGCATTTTTAAACTCTATTTAATTTTTAACATTCTAAGAGTTCAAAATACCTCATATTGGGAATGTACAATCTTACCACAGCGGTCTTTGTATCACATTCAATGGATCATCGAACACATTAGCTTCTTGGTTTGGTGGCACTTCCTCCACTTTACTCAGATATAAGGTATTTTTTCAAAGACCATCTTTACAAATCTACTTTAGTCGAACTTAGGTTGAGGATCATAGATCATCAAAGGAGCGCAACTAAATATTGAAGCGTCCTCATGTGATATCCAAAACCAAATTTAGATTGAAATACTTGATGATATAAATAATACCTGACTTCTTCAGTCGTTAATTGAACTTGACTCCTATGTTATGAAGATGGACACTGAAACCTGTCCTTAGATAGGTAAGTCTGAAGTTGAAATGTTGCATGCACGAAGTTTGTGACACAGTTCAAGAACCCTTCAATGGTTTATTTTCTATCTAACTATAGTCTATTATACATCCATAATTTTGATGTATGAATATCCACATATAACATATTTCTTTGAGAAAGTGTTGTTAACAAAAAAGCACAGTAGATAAGGAAAAAAGTATAGATGATGAGTTAATAGGATAAAAAGAGAATCATAGCTAAGCTCTTATAAATGTCAATTAAAAAAGCAACAAAATAGTTAAATGTTGGTGTCACACTTCTAAAAAAAGTTGTCAGGAGCTGAACATACGTCATTGGCCTTACAAAAAAATAAATAATGTGGAAACTCTAATACAAAATATCAAAGTTCTCTCATTTCATTTTTTTATCAATAATCAAAACAATTTTTTTTATAATAATTAGTAAGTCCGATTAAACTTCATATCAAAAGCATCACTATCACTACTTTTTAAGTGAAATACACAAATTCATGTATAAAATTAAAGCACCGGATTTTAATGTATATAAGTACGAAATTTTAATTGTGAGATACAAAAATACATAAGAGTTTTATGCTAGGTATGCAAATTTGCCTTTAAAAATGGGTCTTTAATTGCATAGCATACAATTCTTTTGTATTTACATATTTAAGACCTAAATTTTCTAATTTATAACATAGTAATCAACACTTTAATAGCACACCAAAAATACACTAATATCAATTTTTAAATGTGAAAAACATACTTCTTGCATATGTTTAAATCGCCAAAGTTTCAATATATATATA